TAAATAAATTATGCCCAAATAGAAATTTTAAATATTAAATAATAAAAAAAAAAAATATTTGAGATTGTTATACATAGCTGCAATATATATTTGATTAGCTCATATATTTAAAAAAATATTTGCAAAAAATTAAGAAAAAGAGATTAGCTACATAATTCTAAATAATCGATTTTTAAAAGTATTCCGCATCATTCGAATGATTTTTTAAACTAAAATATTTGCTGTTAGGAAAAAATTTACACTTTTTAAACTTTAAAAGTTCTAATTCAAAATGGATTTTTTTAGATTTGAGAATCTCTGAGGTGCTCGAGTGTTTCGGGGTTAAAGACCGGCTGCAGCAGATCTTACGTATGCTTCGAGACTTCAATTTTCTTTCGTTGTTCTCCCCTTCACCACCCTCTTTCAGTCTCTTCCCTTCAACGCCGATCTTTTCGCGCTTTCTCTTTCTCTCAGAAGCTCTCTTTTTCTTTTTCTTGTACAAGCGCACGCCCGCGAAACGAAAGACAGTTTATAACGGAGCTGACGAATGGTCGAAACCGTTCTTCGGTTCCTCTTTTCTTTCTCTTTTTTTGTTCTCCTTTTCTATTTACTTTTGCTTGTCTCTTTGGAAGATTCTTGTAGGATTACTGGGCTTAAGATCATTTCACAACGTACGTATACATCTCGAATTAAATCTCGCTTGCGAAAGAAATTCAACAAAGTGTATGAATTCTACAAATCTTATAATTTCTGCATTATAATAAATATTTACACAATAAAAAATATCAAAGATATTATTTATAAAAGTTTTCCGATTTTATAAATATAAAAAAAATTAAAATAATATTTTTTAATAAAATAATTTGTTTCTTGATGCAAAATTTTAAAAAAATCCGAGGTTAATACATATGAATTTAATTGCTTCCATCTAGAATACGGTCGATATATAGCATCCTTTAATTACGTCTTTTAGTACAACAGTACGGGACTCTCTTTTCCTTATTCCGGAAATCTCTTCGGGAAGTTGCACGGCGGATCATGGGGATTGAGTTAAGCTCGAAGCAAAGAGAGGGAGAAAAATCAATATGTTCGTACATGAGTGGCAGGCATAATTTTGCATAAAGCTTATCTAATTGAAACAAACGCTGCTCTATAGTAACTAATAATATGACGAACGCGCATTAACCAATCAATCGCTTTAATTCATACATCGCATAAACAGCTGTGTTTGCAAAGTTTCATACATCCATAAACAATATAAACTCAATTATATCAACGTATTATAAAAATATATAAAAATGCAAGTATATTTAAAAATAAATATCCAAAAAACAATGTGTGTGGGATATCTCTCTGCTGCTAAAATAAATTATATATAAGATATCATACAATGAAAATAATACGAGAAATCTTTTTTGGATGTGATTTTACCGCGTAATAATATCATAGTAATGAGATCTAACAATGAGATAAATAAATGTATTCAATATATTTCATAATTAACGTTAAATCAATATCTCTCATAAATAAAAAAATCGTAACAATTAAATCTGTAGAAAAAATTTATAGATCTTTGAGAGAAATTCCATAAATATTTTTCCAATCCATGAATATGTCATCGAGAGGGAAATAGCCATGTAAATCAAGACCCTGACCTAGACGCCTAGACAAGCTTGTCGTCTAAACTGTCAACTGCGGTAACGCTATGAGCAGCAGATAGCCAGAAAAAAAGGACCATCCTAAACTCCTATAATATCGTAAACCATGACGAGAGATGAGCCCTCTTTCGTTTATGCGTGCGCGCATATGCATTATGGCCGGCCGGCTAGTTTGTGCACGACGTGAAAATCTATTTCGAACGAAGGAGAAACGCATTCTGTATCCAGACATACGAACATGCGCGTTTTGATACCATCACGATATATAGAGTGGCGAGAGTGACGAGATAGAGAGAGAGAGAGAGAAAGAGAGAAAGTACAGAGCATCCCCCTGTAAAGGCGCACATCAGCGGTGCCCAACCATGTAAATAAGCGATAAGAGGATACAAATTCTGCCTTTCGGCCGGGAAGCTTACAAAGTAGTGATAAAAAGAGAGCAAATATAGCAATATGAAGAAATAATATTCAAACTTATATAATATATAATAACATATAAATAAATAAAGTAATAAATGATTTTTAAAAACAATGAAAAAGATAAAAAATAAAGAAGAAATATCCTCACATTCAATCATTATTATCGTCACACTCATTATCATAAATATCCAGAAAAAAATTAATATTTTTTATATTCGTAATAAGCTTGATAAATATTTACTTTTTCTCTTGTATACAAAAAATATTTTCTTAACAAGTAAATTTTTTAACGTAGATGTAAGTAATAAATTTGTATAAATAAAATTGTTGTATTTTTTTCTTTTAATTTCTCGAAAGAGAAAAATTTTATGCATGATAGTACACATTGATATGAATAAAACAACTATACGGGAGAGTGGCGATTTATAATCTCGTTCTCGTTGATTACCGTAATGGCGGGCACGAGCCGTGTGAGATCCCTTAAGAAGAAAAAAAAAAAAAAAAAAAAAAAAAACGCCAAAAGGCAAGGACAAGCACATCACCTACTTCATCGTCATCGTCCAGTCTCACTCGCTTCAGCGCGACGATTTCGTGTGTCTCGCGATTCTTGGCTTTGAACACGGTGCCATAAGTGCCTGGAAAGAAGAAAAAGCGAGAGTCGTAGTCAGGAGGTGGAGGCGGCGCGGTAAAAAAAAAAGAAAAAATCGCACGACGGCAAGGACCGGTTAGTATTTGCATTTTTCGAGACGGCTGCGAGGCAATCGAGCGAGAGAGCCGACTGGATTGTCGAAAGCGGAGAGAAAGACTCGTGTGTATGTGCATTTTATCGTCCTCTCGAAAAGACCGGTCTCTCCTCTCCTTCACTTTCCTTTTCTGCCCTGCAGTATCCCGCGGGAAGACTCAAAGTTGAGCGCCTCTGTAAATCGGGTGCCCGAGCACATCTGGCTCGTGGAAACTCGGGAGTTGAGAGTAAAATATAAACTATGGGGTGCCACATCATCTCGCAGGGGCGGAGAACACTCCCTCGGGTTTCCACTACCCTATTCCCTTCGTATGTAATATTGCCATATGTATGCGCAGTACGTACGCAATAGAGAGGATAGATGAATGTGCATGTATGCGAGAAAATGATAGGGAAACATAGAAAGAGAAAGAGAGAGATATGAAGGGAGACAAGAAGATTATTTATCGTTTCGAAGGAAATAAGTGCAGTTAAATAAGATAGACATAAAAGAATTATGACAAGAGCAAATATAGATTTCAGAAAAAAACTCTAAGAAATGAGAGTCGATGAATTATCAAATTTATCTTATTTATTATATATAATATATATAAATTAAGAGGAAGTAATTAGAAAAAGAGAACAAAATAGTAAAATAAAAATTAAAAATAAATATATCCTAGGAAAGCATGCACGTACATATATGACATACAAAAGGAATAAATGAGAGATGAATGCCTACGCGAGATAGCATGCAGGGTAGATATGATCATACAAGCCACCGTATGTATTCGCAAAGACGGGATAACCCCATGGAGACTAGTTCCCATAGCGGTCCAGGATCTCCCGCGACAGTCAGAAATGCGCAAAGGGTTGCTAAAAGCCATTTACGAGGCTAATGGTTAATGGGGTGTTTTTAACGCGGGTGTTCGTCGGGTGTCCTTCGTCGTTCTTTATCTCGAAAGAAACGCGACTTGAAAAAAAACATCGTTTAATTGTTTCAAACGAAGAAAGTTTTCCCATAATTTTGCATATTTTTGTGATTATTGATCCAATATTTAAATTCACATTTATCTCAAATTAATAGTCACTTCGTTTCCGCTTAATCTTCTCAAAATTAAAGTATTTAGAGACTTATATAGAAACAATTGAGAAATTCGAATAAATTTTCTCTTAATAAATAAAAGAATTAAATTTAAAGGAATTATTTTTTTTTACTTATTCTAATAATCAAGAAATGGCAGCGTTAATTATTTTTTTTGAAATTATCTCAATGATTATTATCAATAATTCAGAGAAAGCGCAGGACTTTTGGCGTACCCCATATACGTGCGGAAAGTTGATGATAACGATCGGCGCAATGAAATTCCAGCGGCGATATTACGGGCAACTTGTTGAAAAAATAATGGAAACCGGCTGGCGAAACCGGCCGCGGAAAGATCGATTTAGCAAACGATATTGCTCGCTAATGAATTTTTATTCGCAAAAATGTGGAGCGCGCAGACACCGTCACGATCGTACCGCAAAACAAATAATAAATTTCGTGTGCTTGCCGTAATGATTTCATGTTTTTGGTATCAAAGGCTCCCCCAAAAAAGTTTCCAAAATATTTTCGAGATCCGCACAAAGGTCTTCTGCTACGTATATAATTTATATTTAATCAAAATAATATCTAAAATACTTGTTAATTATCAAATAAATGATTCAAAAATTTTTCAAATTAAAAATTAACATAAAAAATCACGATATAATTATTATATTATATTATAATATAGCAGATATTTTATCGCAATAAGAGCAAAGCTTTTACGTTTGTTTGCCAAGCACGGCGCGAAAAGTTTGCATCAAAGGAGGGTGAGAGAGATGGGTAGAAACTTACCGAGTTGCGATTGATGCGTCGGTGTCGGAGCCGGTCTAACTTTGTCCGGGGGGCATCTCCTGGTGGCAGCGACGGTCGCGGGCAGGGGTATGCTCGTGCCACCCCCTGGACCACCCCCAGCGCCGCCAACCCCCGACGACTGCTTGTTGTAAGGCGACGGTAGTCTGAAATGAAAAGAAAATTTGCTGTTAATTCGTTTAAATATTTTTTCGCGTATCCTCGATTGAAAAAGTTTTATCAAAAATAAATAAGCATATTTTTAGTTCCTTAAACATTCATTTATGTTTTACTGTGTTAAGAAAAATAATTATATTATTGTATAAAGAAAAATAAAAAGAATTAATATGTAATATAATAATAATATAATGGAACTTTATATCAATAATCATTAATTTAACTCATATCAAATTATTTATATAACAATTGTACATTTTCTGTTGTATGACACTTTCTATTAGATTTTGTATATTGCATATTTTTTTGCATTATAATTATATATATATATATATATATATCTTTCTTATATATAAGAAAGAATATAAATAACGTATAAAAAAATAATCGTATGTATGTCAAATCGTCATATAATATACGATTTTGATTGTGTACATTGTATATAGAACATCTTTTTAAAGTCATTATTTAATTAATAACCTAATTCAGTCCACAGCAAACGCATAAATCAACGTTTAAATACGTCGTTAAGTTCCTTTCAACTAGCAGCTTTTCGACATATGCAAATGCATATAATCCGCTATATATCGCTCTGTACACACTTGTGCTCGAATTACCGAGTACCGTCTATAAACCTCGCAAATATAACTGGCTTGGCACAGAAACGGTCTTTGACTCGTGTCCGTATCTGCGCGTTTAACGCTAAACGCGGCTATCCGATATCCACATCTCGCGTAAATCATCGCGCTTTGTCCTAAATTTATCTGCTATTTCGCCGCGACAGAAATAATTGCAGTTGTCAATCGACTCTAGTGTCCATGATGCAACTATAGGACACTACCAATCCAATGCTGCGAGAAATTAATCCCTCTAGCTCGCATGTCGCGACTTTTTGATTTTTTACCACTTAATTGCAAATTCAATTATTTTCGACAGATACAGACGGAAGAAAACAAAAAAAACTCCACTGCACCAGATTATAATAAACAAGCGAAACGATCTATCCAGAGTGATTAAAAAAAAAATAAATGAAAAAATAAATTTTCTTATCAAAAATAAATTAAATCTCGATTGTCTAATTAATTAACATTGGAAATATATATTACTAAATAGTGCTAAATATATAAACATTAATACATGTATAAATATATAGAATACTGTTATTCTTGAAAGACAAGATAATTCTTTAAATTAGTATATATTTTAGCAAAGTAAAATTTAAATGCACGCTTTGTAAGCTGCATCAAGAATGAATCGGATTTGTTCTGTGATTTATATACTGGGCTTGCGCATCCATTTGCATCGTACACACACCCACGTGCAGCTGGTGCAGCCCGACCCGCGGGACACACCTCGTGGAATTCTTTTCTTCGAACTGCAAGAGGCTGCGAGAGATGCGATCCTTCGCTCGCGTCATGCAGGGACACGACACAATAATGCTCGAGGAAGGCACAATGCAAGCGAGATATATGAGATATTAAATTATGCGGCGATGCAATGCATATTGGGGAGATGCACGCATAAAGCCGTTTTAAAAATTTCCATTTCATTTGTGTCGGTGTGATGAGTATGATGAGTTGCGAGATTTGCATCAAATGCTCACAAAGAATATCGCTTAACAATTTTTTAATTAGATTTTTTTTTGTTTTTATGTGATGGTGATTGAAATAAATGATTGAATCAATTAAGATTTGCGTTAATAAATTATATGTAGAATTAATTTCGATAACTTTATCTCTCTTTTGTAATATTTAGGTAGGTGAAGGATGATATATAACACATTTTATTTAACTAAAGTTCAATCAATTACAATTAATAATGAATTTCGGTCCATTTTTCCCGTTCGGATCATCTTTCCCGTAAATTTAAACAATATAAATTATATTTAAAGTGACGCTGAAGATGATCCGAAAAATGAACCGTAACGTTCGTTATTAATTGTGATTAATTAAACTGTAGTTAAATAGAATATGCGCTTCATCTACCGCGATGGCTCTTATTTGCCTTTTTTTAATTAATTTCTTTTATTACAATGTAAAGAGCTTTCATTTTGTAATTAATATATATTATTAATTTTATATAATCTATATAATTAAACATTAAAATCATACTAATATAAAACTAAACTCTTCCTTTATTTTGCAAGTTTCTACAACACCATTTCATATAGGTACATCTGATCCTTTCTTCAAAGGTATAACTACGGCCCTGAGGATCGATATATAAAAAATGACCCCCTCGCAGGGGGATGCGCGCACCCCCAGACGACGTCGAATCGAAGAAAAAGAGAGATGTTTCAATCCGACGAGGATGGTATACGGCGAGTCGCGAATATTTACGAGAGCAATATCGGAAATTAATGCCATGGTCGGGCGCCGCGGCGCGTGTTGCAACTGCCGCCACCGCCGCGACGCGACGTCTTATCCCCGGTCCCGACACGTATTAATATCGCGCGAGATGGGCGTCTCGCGACCGCAGACGGCGCCTTTACGACGCCTTTGTTTCGGCTTAACTTGCACAGATAATGATAAGTGTGTATTAATCCTTTAGTGATAATTGGACACTAAACATGTGCTCATAAATCCTTCAGAAAACATTGGAGCCAAAAATCGAAATTAATTTTGTTTCGCTGTGTTTAAAATTTGTACTATCTTAGAGTAATTAATCATTAAATAAATCATTAAACGGATATTAACATAATTGAATTGTATTAATAATAACAAAATGGATAAAAATAAATTCTTAAATATCGCAATTTTCACATCATCATCAATCATTATCGCCTCGTTGCAAATACACTCTGTTTCATGTTAATGTTATGTTATTTATAACGGCGTCGGATTAAATAATTTCTACCGCGCGTACTAGCTGCATGTTTGCGTTCCACAAGGAAACGCGAGGGCCATTATTATCGTGACGTCTGATTAATCGCGTTCGATAGTCGTTCGATAAGAGTCTTTATTATAAGAACAAATTGCACGCAAGCGAATTTCTCGATTACATACGCGTACCAATGCAATTTGTTCGACATCACATGTTTCATTAATCGTCGGCGTAATTTATTTATGATATTTTCTCGATTTTTTTCCTACAAATGATATCAGCTCCCTCGGCTTTTGATTACCTAACGAATGTATTTTATCATGTCTATCAATGACCGGCGATGCATCGCGCGAGATGCACGCTTGCGTCGTTCTCGATGTAATCCGGTGATGAGATTACAAGTAACAAGCTCATGCAAACTCGTCACATATGTTTATCGTTGTAATGTTTTTGTGCTCGCCATTCGGCTAATTAACTCGTTTGTATGCTTTATTTTCTGTAGATAATGATTTCGCAAATATCTCTTTTTTATAGTTTCTTTTTAAAAAAAAAAAAACACTTAATATTGTAAGAAATACTATATCTCGAGATTGCATCTGCGATTCTGTTCTCTCTCTCCCTCTCCTTCTATGCAAATTATAAATCAATATTTTTAGAAATCTCTGAGAGAGCGTTTACTTTGTTTTATATTAGGATAAAAAGATTATTATACCAAAATCTTGGAAAAATTGATATTTGCAAAAATTATACGAGAAAAGAAACTGAACAGCAGGCACGCTTAGACGTAAAAACGCCATATGCCCATTTAGTTGCAAAATGTGTAAAGAAGGGAGCTATTGGGACTCCCTTCGATGCCCGCGGGCAACAAGAGCACGTGATTAGGTTGGCTGACCAACAACGACGAGATGCATATCAGCCGGGACGACATTCCTTCTAATTGCCAACTGCCGGGATCGGATCGGCCGGTGCAATTTTTCGAACGATCGCCAATTAGAGATCCCGTCGCCGCGATATAGAGAGAATGTTCTTTCTCTCATATTCGCCACTGCGAGATCTCTAAGTCTCGCGAAGGTAAGAGCCAGCTTTCGTTAGAAACCCGAATGGCGTAACATTAACTGTAGCGAGTTGCTTATTTTGAATCTATTATTGATAATAATATAAATTTATATAAATGTCTTGTTATATATAAAAACAAAAGATATAATTTATATAAAATAAAAATTCAATTTCTGCAAAATTGAATAATTTTTGCCAAAACAAAAATTACAAATATATCGTTTGTACCCAATAAAAGAATGATAATCTTAATTTTAGATTTTAATAATCTTTTTTCATTTAACATTTTTTTATTTATTATTATTTCTAAATAAACACGATTAATTATTAAATTTTATTTTTTTAAATTTCGGATTTTGAAATTTCAGTGAAAAGCATATGAGGAACTACTTAAAAATATTTCGATGCTAACGCTATTCTGGCTATGATGCATCTCGAAACTATGCATCGACGCATTTAAAAATGTATTTTCAAGCAAAGCACGGTTCAGGTAAAGACACGATAAATAAGATTGATTAACAGAACCTGTCTGTTAACTCTTATCTGTCCCGAGCACCGAAAGTGCACGAACGTTGCGCGTTGACACAAAATCAAATAGAAACTCCGACGTTAGTTAGACAAGTAGATAAGAGAAACCTTCTGCATTTAAACGTCCAGAAAATATGACGTATATTTTTATAATACTATCCATTCAAGACTTAAACTTCAAAACTCCTTCTTCGCTTAAAAATGCGAAGATTAATAAGATTTTAACAAGTTATGCATATTATTTTACCATAATTTTTTAAATTTTAGCGCCACAAATCTTGCTGTTCTTATTATTCACATTACTCGCGTGTGAGTATAAATCGTTGCAAATTGACAAAGATGTCGCGGGCGAGTAGTCGCGTTAACGAACACCGAAGAAGAGAGGAGGCAAGAGCAAGGTGTGTGTATAGCGTCGGAACGAGTCGAATAATTCATTCCGAGTATTAGAAGTAATTGCCGGATCTTATTCAAAGAGAAAAAAAAATCGAGAGAGAAAGAGTCCGCACACCAACACGAAGCAGAGCGATGCTTGTGTTCCAGAGTGCGGGATAAATTTAGAGGGTCTCGAGAGAAGAAGGACTTA